CAGCAAATGATATAAACCTTACACGAGGGTCACTGGTAGGGATGCGTCTAACTCACCAGATACGAGAAGCCCATGCAGCGCGATTTCTAAGCGGCGCGTGCGAATGGCGATCACAGGACCGCGCGAATTATTGGCGAGCCGAAAGTAGGGCAGGGCGACGGACAGCACCATAGTGAACAGCAGCACGAAGCAGCAGCCACTTGGGGGTTGACGCGCGCGGGCCACGTAGGTCCACGGCGGCTGGAACGACAGCAGCTGCCATGAAGTAGGCGGCCAGCACCGCGCCGCAGGCTGTGCCGACCACGGCGAACAAGGCCCCCTCCTGAAAGCACACCGCCACGAGTAGCCGTATGCGATGTTTAGGATTTGACTTGGTGGTATGTAGTCGCGCTCATTACGCTTCTAAAACAACTCCAGACTCCAGGCTGGACCCGGCGAGAACGCTACCAGGCCGAACGGCCCCTCCTAGAAGCACACGAACAACCAACGTTGGCAAAGGAAGCCGGAGGAGCAGTGCGATGCTTAGGATTTTGACTTGGTAGGATTAGTCCATGCTCATTACGGCCGTACAACTCCAACATCCAAGGCAAATGACACGGCTTCGAATGTGCGGACCCCACGTTGGGCCGACCGAGCGGACCCACCTCCTACAAGGGCACACGAAAACAAACAAAACTATGAGGCAAATCTCACTCCAACGGGTAGCATTAAGAGGAAGGTAGCATATTATGCTTTAAAAGTGAGTTTGGTGACCTTTTATTAGGTCCCGCCCATGGTACCCCCTAGAATCCCAAAACACCGAGGCGTGGGACGCCGTGTAGAATGTCAGGTAAAACAACGAGGCCGTGTTCTGGAAGCGCAAGAGCATATGGAATAAGCTATTTCCAATGTACAACAACAGACGAGAGCAACTACAGAAGAAGTGTTACACAGCTAGCCCGACAGTGCCAAGCCCTCCACACGGCGGCGCCCTGTGTGCAGTCGAGGTAGCAAACGTCCCGGCCTTCTAAAAGAGCAGCGGAATGAGAGATGGCTATGATTTCCACGAGTGATAAATATTAAAATAAGCATGATAGTGCTGTTTACAGTGATGGAAGTTTCAAACCCGTTCGGTCTGAATTGAGTTAGAGAACGCACACGACACACGTTGCGCACCAGTGCCGAATACGGGCGGCCCAGCCTATGAATCGACACTTCTATGAGAAGACAACGCCAAAACGCACACGCCATTACTGTGAAAAAAGGCCAACTTCTTAAAAGTAAGCAATGTTAAAGGCCCGTTTGAACTTCTAAGCGGTTAAAAGTAGTCGCGGACCATGTACCGACACCACAAGCGTCCGGCATCAGGCTGGACGCCGTGTGTGTCCAGAAACAACGGCCGTGTCTCCGGAGAAGTGGGCAAGGCAGTGAGGCCAATACTATTTCAATGACCCCATAAACAAAATCAACACGGAGGATCCCGATCATATAGCTGAGTAAACACAGACGTGTACCAAGGCCCTGCGCCGTGGTGGGTCGCGAGCGCGCGTAACGTCTCCTTCTGAAGGCGGAGCTCAAGCAATGCGAAGCACACGGAACTATTTTCGGACATAGGTAAATTTAATAGAAATGGCAAGTACCATATAGATTAATCAGCTGCTGATGAAGTTGTGCGGGACGCCAACGCACCACGGTAAGACCCACCACGACGCAACCCGGCCGTAAGTGCATCCCATGGACCCGAACCAGAGTATGATAATAAGAAATATATCACGTTTCAGCAATAGCGTAGGTACCGTGGTTATTTGGCGCCAGTACCGCTATACTGAGGTTCCGTCTTCTGAATAATGCAATCCCTTCAGTAAATTTTATACCGGTCCGGTTGTGCAAACTTAAACGGAAATTCCATCCAATGTCGCGATCCAAGCACCCAGATCCGCCGCGACTGCTTAAATGTCTTTCTGTCATCGTTAGGCGGCCCATCCCCAAGTGCACTTGACGCAAAGCGAAAGCAACGGTAGCCAATAGGAATGTGGGTTTGACTTCAGTATTACTGCGAGCTGAGTAGTCCAAACGTGCCCACGCGTGCGGCGTGTCCGTCCACGCCTAGTTGATTCTGAGTTATTTATACTAAACTGTGCCATCATGCCTCTACCCATTGATTTCCATCTAAAGCCATTGCGTTTTAGTGACCTTCCAGACGCGACCGTTGTAATTCAGAGGTTAGGAGACAAGGAGCGAGCGTTTCAAACAAAACTCCGCGAAGTGATGAGTAATAGATTAATAAACTACGATTAAAATATCAATTACAGTTATTATTCCTGGCAATTGTCTAACACTTTGGTCCGTTGATGTATAATACCTATCCATGCCCCAAATATTTATACTTTATCCGGCAAGGAAGTTTCCGAATTTTAGACCTAATTAGATAATTTTTATACCTTTCAGCCTGTAACCCATGAGAGGAAGATTGAGTCCCTTTTCTCTAAACATTGATTTAAAATTAGTTTTAAGAAAGAAGTGGAAGTTCTTTACTCTTATTGTTAATCTCAATGCTGTAATATTTTTTTCAGGTCCCTTTTTTTATTCTCATCAACAATTAATTTATTTATAAATTTTGCTATTTGTTTCACTTCTCTGTCTTGAAACCACAAAGCTCGACGCTGAAGTCTCCTACTACCAGGGGGGCGAGGAAAGACCACGTACACATCCGGCGATTTAATGATAGATCGGGCAATCTCTATCGAATAGATACTTGTTCAAAAATTTGTCGGGAACTCATTACCGTTGTGTGTGTAATGCGCGCTAAATTCATAACTTCAAACAAGATCAGTACATCTCAGTCACGATCGGGAATCGTTCCGGTCTATTAAGGTTAAAGGGCACAGCAGGCACAATTCTCGCCCTTATGAATGTCTCGATGATAACATTCCGTTTGAATAGCTATTTGTAGTTCACAACTTTCTCTAAATTCAACCCTTATTGTGAACCCTGTGAACTGTCTTTTTTTCCTAAAACTGAAATTTAGAAAATTGTAAATGAACTACCTTATCTCAAATCGTCTTAATTGACAAATTCATTTAGAGAAAACATCGTAAATATTTTAGCCTATAAGATAGCTTCCGGAAAAAAAACCTGAACTTTTGCAATTATTTCTAAAATTCAGAAGACGTAAAATTCATACAACGAACTGGAATATAAGGAGGAAAATTTTTTTTTTCTTTATACTCATTCACAGCATCTCGGCAGTTGGTTTCCAATTTTTCCTTTTTCTATCAAAGCACCATTCTGGCAGTGTTGACCACCATATTCATTGAAGCCTGACCACTTCAACCTCTTTTAACGTACCCAACACTGACCAACAAAGAAAATTTCCTCAAGGGAGGGGATACCGATGGAGTTTGGTATTATGATATTTGTTTATCTTTTGTAAAATGAAATGGGACCCTGTACATAGTTGTTAAATATTTACCCTCCCCACACCCACCCAATAATTTAAAAATTGAAAAGCGATATTATAAGAACCTTTTTTGTCTTCAAAATTGGGTGTTTGAAGGTTGGTTTGAAAAAAAAAAAAGAAAAAGAATGCTTAGAGCAGGCAAGAAACTATGGAGCAAGCACATCTAGATCAAAGAACCAGCCCATGAAGTAGGCGGCCAGCACCGCGCCGCAGGCCGTGTGCGACCACGCGAACGGCCCCTCCTGAAGGACACGCCACGGTAGCCGTAGCAATGTTTAGGATTTGACTTGTGGATTAGTCGCGTCATTACGCCACAACTCCAACTCCAGGCTGGACGCCGTGTGCGACCACGCGAACGGCCCCTCCTGAAGCACACGCCACGGGAGCAGTAGCGATGTTTAGGATTTGACTTGTGGATTAGTTGCGTCATTACGCCACAACTCCAACTCCAGGCTGCACGCCGTGTGCGACCACGCGAACGGCCCCTCCTAAAGCACACGAAAACAACAGAACTATTGAGGCAAATCTCACTCCACGGTAGCGGTAGCAATGCTTAGGATTTGACTTGTGTATTAGTCCCGCCATTACCCTAGAAATCCAGCACCAGGCTGGACGCCGTGTGTGTCCAGAACAACGGCCGTTCTGAAGCGCAAGCATAATAGCTATTTC